GATAATCTATTTTCATTTTTAATTATAAAATTTTAAAATCTAAAAATGGTTGAAATCAAGTAGATCTATAAATATATGAAAATATTGAAAATGGACGGTTTAGATAATGTGTTAGAAGATGTATTATTTTTATGACTCAATTTTTTTTATTTTTCCATATTCATACATCTTAATGTTGAGATGATCGTTTGCTACCTTAAAACAACATTTTCTTATGGATTTTTTATGTGCATCTGTAATTCTACATTTTAAGGTTGCAACCTCATATAAACTTTTTCCAAAAAAAAAAAAAGAGTGCGGTTTGTATATAATGGAGGCTTTAAACAGTCAAATTAAAGCGCACCTTCAAATACTATAAAAAGTTGATTTCAATACCGAAAATCTTTTTGGTAGCCTTAAAATATAATTTTTTTAATTACAAAATTTTAAGCTTAAAAAATAGAGTAGATCGATGAGATCTATGAAAATTTGAAATTCTTGAAAATTGATCGTCCAAAAATGTATTATTTTCAAAACTTGAAATCCATTTTTTTTCTCATGTCTATACATCTGAAGATGATCAATTTGAGAATATTCGGGCTTCAAAACTGATATTTGTGAGGTGGGCTCTAATTTGATTGTTTAGAGCCCCGACTTCCTATAAACTTTTCCTTAAATAATTAATTGGTGACGTGTATCTGCTCTCCCCAAAATTGTGTAGGATTGATAGGTAGGTGACTCGGAGAATTGGTCGGATCAGCGTTCTAAACATCGAACGGGCCTCATAAACTACCATGTGTAGGTTCGGAGTAATCGGTAAACCAGATAGTTAGACCGGTCTAACTGGATATGTCTGGACCGGTAAAAAATACAAAATTAAATAAATATAAAAAATTAATAAACTAGGAAAAATATATTTAAAAAGTTATAAAACAAAGCACAACCAAATAAAGTTGAAAAATAGTGAAAAAATGGATTTTAAAACATTGATTTGTGTCCAAAGATATTTTTGAAATTTTTAAAAAAGAGAAAATGTAAAAATAAATATTTATGGCCACAATACTTTCAAATATTTTCCAAAATGATAAAAAGTATATCTAAAAATGTATTCCAAACAAATATTTTATTTTTTGGGATTTTATATAATTGTTTTCTATTTTTTTTTTTTTTAAATACTCGGTTGGATCACTCAAATTGTCCAAAATTAGAACTGATTAATGGCCGATTTTGATCTAACCGGCTAGTTCCGATTTGAAGCGGTTGATATGGCATTCACTAGGTTGGATCGATACGCCTCAGCCTAAATAATTCAAAAACTAACTACAAATCCTTTAAAATAATATCGAGATGTCGTTTCTTTGTCTGGATATCTGCATAATTGTTAATTATAATATAATACTATGGGAATTCCTCTTATGCTGCGTCATGAACAATCCTATATTTTTACGCATTTGGAACTCATTGGCTTCCCAAAAGGGGGATGAAGGTGAAAGATATTAAAAGAAGAATCTTGGATGACTTATGGAATTTGTTCTCTGTTCCAAAAAGAAGGCTTTGGAGTTTCAAAAGAGGATGTATGGTGAATCTAAACCATATTGTAATTAATGCTTCCTGGTGCATTACAGTAAGGGTTAGATGGCATCTGCTTAGGCTGTTTAAAACTGAATTTTGATGAGACTTTTTTGGGGAATCGAGATCGGGTCAGTTGTGGTGGGGTGGTGTGGGATTCTAATTGTGATATTCTTCTTTCCTATGCAAGCCCTTGTGGTTTCACCATATAAGCCACGTTGAATTATCTTGTTTGTTATTTGGATTTATTTGAGGGATAGATATCCAAATTCATGTTGTACAATGGAAAGTGATTCACTGAATGTGGTTCATTGTACCAAGCGAAGTAGACCACCATGGCATGTCTTGCCGATATGGTTAATGGTATGTGAGATCTTGAAGGTCTCGTTTTCAAGACGTTGATCATGATGCCAGCTCTATAGCTGATGACATTGCTAAGTTTGGTGCGAACCTTGAGATGCTGCTAGTTTCTAATGA